GGTCAGGGTAAATGAATACAACTCAACTCAACTCAACTCAATCAAGCGGCGTCTAATTCCTCGCGCCCAGCTTTACAGATATGTTCAGCGGTTTTCTAGCACGTAATAGAGGTGAGCAGGTCATCGCGAGCATTTCTCTGCACGAAAAGTTTTATTTTAGGCGCTATAGATTTTTCTAGTACTCTAAATAATCATGAGCAAGCCGTCTAAAACTGGTTTCGGAGACGCCGCTTGCTTTTCGTAGCCAGAGCTCTAAGAAAGGGGACGAAATTATAAATTCTACGCGCCCAACTCTACCCGCATCGGCCTTTCCAAGCGCAACCAGAGCCTTTAAACTTAGATGTAGATCGGCGTCTAATCTCTAAATCCTAGTACTGTGTTAAGGACATTTACTCTCCCACTTGAAAAGAAATTGCTCAGTGATTCGGCGAGGGAGCACGCTGGTACAAGACATAAATAGTAATGTAATAGCTGATGAAATTTGAAAACAATAGATTGACCCGGCTCTTTAACGTTCGTGCGCGTGGTTGTGAAAACTGTGTAGTAAGTATAGCTGGAATTGTATTGAGAATTATTATCCGAGGCTTAAATGAATTGCCACCGTTGTGAGAAAGCAGAGAAAGCACGACCGAATATAAACTAATAAGTATCTTGAGAATATGATTCTGCTTGTTATCGGTGCATGCTGATATATACGTGTTGATAAAGGTAAAGAGGTGGTAACCTATACGGTGTTTTGCGTGATGTGGCGTACGGAGTAAATTGAGTGCCTTTTTCTTTGCCTGTTTGTCCTACTCACGATCGTTGGCTTTGCCATCTTGTCTTTATTTGCTGGTTCTCCTGTACTTTAAGATTGTGGGCGCCCAGATAGGAAGGTCAACGTAAGGTCACCAATCACTAACAACCAACAAGACATTTTTATAAAAGCTATTCCCATAGCTACACGGACGTTCTTCTCCATGTAGCTTCGTTAGCGATATAATTAGAGTAAACTTTCATTGTAACCAATAGCCATTTCGCCGCATAGTGCTCCTGCACGAATGCGATATTGAGTTTTACACACACTGTAATATTTTAAATTATTATGCGATAAGCTGAAGTGCCTTTTGGCCCCCAAACACCTTTTCTAGGATACGACGCCGACTATGCAGTAGCGCAAAACTTAATCCATCTTAGCATTAAGTTATGCTTACGTGAGATAGTCTAGGCATCCACTTGATGTTAGTTGCGATCAGCAGTTAAATATAAAGAGGGTGGTCACCCCGAGGAAAGAAGAAACAAGCCAAATTTTCCGATCAGCTCGAAACCAGGATCTGCTTACTTACCCATTACAGCGCCCTTACGAAGCTGAGACCAACAAGTTTCCAGCGACTCAATTACAGCATACAACGGCATAAAGACGAGCTTAATCACTCAGCAACGCACATTTGTTTCTAACTCGACTTTGCGAAAAAATGGCTCCTGCAACCGTCACTCATCCTCTTATTGCTGATCCTCAGCTCTCTTCCCCCAAGGATGACAAATTTGAAGGAACACCCACTATGCAACCAACATGTGGGGACAGATTGGTCCATACGCTGTTTCAAGAGCATGTTAGGAGCCGTCCAAATGCGCCAGCCATTTGGGATTGGGATTACCGCTTCACATACCGAGAGCTCGACCATCTCTCGTCTCGACTTGCCAGCCATCTTTCTTCCGTCGGAGTCGGCCCCGATGTCATCGTGCCAATCCTCAGCGACCAGTCGGCCTTGGGCATAGCGGCCATGTTGGCAGTATCCAAAGCCGGCGGCGCTTTTGCTGCGCTGGACACGAATAATCCAGAGGAAAGACTGGAAGAGATGATCAAAGATACCCAAGCCACTACGCTCCTGGTCTCACCAACTCAGAGCACTCAGTTCTCCGAGATTCCAGGTCTTTCAACTGTGGAAATCGAAAGCTTCGTCCGCACCGCATCCCCTGAGTCTGCACCTCCGCAGTGCAACGCCTCACCCAGTGACCTTATGTACACTATCTGGACATCGGGCAGCACGGGCCGGCCCAAAGGCGTCATGGTCCCGCACCGCGCCTTCTTAACAAGTGCCCTCGCGTACGGCGCGGACCAGGGCATCACCTTCAGGTCGCGTGTCCTGCAGTTTGCATCATATGCCTTTGACATGTCCATCATGGAGATCTTCACAACCTTGATCTTTGGCGGTTGTGTTTGCGTGCCAGGAGACCAGGAACGCTTTGGTGGCATTACCGACTTTGTCAACCGCACCGGAGTGAACACATTGTATCTAACGCCCTCCTACACGCAACTGTTGGACCCAGTCGACATGCCTAGCGTCACGACGCTCGTTGTTGGTGGGGAAGCGGTTCCGAGCAGTCTGGTTGAGAAGTGGAGCTCGCATGTCGGCGTCTACATTGCGTACGGACTAACAGAAACAGCCATCCAGGCCGCGGGTGGCTGGGCAGATGCAACGGCACCTGTGACGGGCCTCATCGGGCGTCCAACTGGCTGCCGTGTCAGCATTGTAAGCGAAAATGACCACAACGAACTGGTGCGCACGGGAGAAACAGGTGAGCTGCTGATTGAAGGCCCCACTCTTGCCCGTGGCTATCTAGGCGACGACGAGCAGACAAAGGCCTCATTTGTATACTTGTCTGAGAGCCGACGAGCTTACAAAACCGGCGACTTGGTCCACCAGGCTCCTGACGGCAACATCATCTATGAAGGTCGCAAAGACACCCAGATCAAGATACGAGGTATACGTTTTGAGCTCACCGAGATCGAAGCAAACCTTTCCAGAGTTTTGTCTCCCGACTCTAAGATTTGCGTTGAAATGGTTGAGATCGCAAGCCAGCCTCGTCTTGCGGTCTTTTTCGGCACCGAGGTCCGCACGAGCGGCCCTTATATTTCTCCTGCGGTTTGTTGGCACAAAGTCGAGAATGTTCTGGCTCAGGCTCCACGAATCAGGGAAAATCTTGCCAAGGTGCTTCCGGCATCTGCTATTCCGTCTCTTTACATCCCAATCGCGTTCATCCCGTTAACATCAGCCACAAAGGTAGACAGAAGGAAGCTAAGAGAGATTCTCGAAGATCTCACCATCAGTGAGGTGCAAATGCTGCAAAGCTCAGCAAAATCGCGACAAGCTACTAGGCCCTGGTCTGCTGGCGAGTCCACTATGCGCGAATTATGGGCATTGGTCCTCAACCGGGAGCCTGAGTCGATAAGGCAGTACGACAACTTCATCCAACTGGGCGGCGACTCCATCACGAGCATCAGATTGGTGTCAGCCGCTCGCGAACGAGGACTGGCCCTTACATCCTCATTGATACTTTCAACACCGGTCTTGAGTGATCTGGCGGAAAAGGCGGTCCCCGAGAGCGAGCCAGAGAGCATTGAGCCATTCATGCTGGTACCGGGCGTATCACCCGAAAACCTACCCATTGAAGATGAGGTCGAAGACATCTTGCCAATGACAACGAACCAGATGCGTTGGTATTCCAAGACATTGGTTAAGCCAGATGCGTGGCTGGATCAACATCATTTCCGTCTCCCACCTGACGTCGACCTTGTCCGGTTTACCAAGGCACTGAACCACACCATTGCGGCTGCAGAATTGTTGCGGGCAAGAGTGGTGGTGGTAGCAGGTCCTGAAAGAAAACTTCTGCAAGCCATTATTAAATTCCATCCCGTAGTACCGGCAGTTATCAACGACACTTTGGAAACCTACCTGAAACAAGACCTTCAGAATCCAATGGGCCTTGGAGCGCCACTTAGCCGCTACGCCATTGTAAGAGAACCCGATTCATCCCAAATCTTTGTCTGGACACTGCATCATGCCATCTACGACGGTTACTCCATCGCCATGCTGTTGCAGACCATTGACGACTTTTACCATGGCAAACACCCTGCACCATTCACACCTTTTAATCGCTACCTAATGGGTCCAAGCGAGAAGGAAATTGCCCAGGGCGAGACTTTCTGGAAGGCCTACCTTGGGGAATCATCATCCTGGGCTGCATTCCCTTCACTGCCTCCCCCCGAGGAGAAGCGCGCACCATGCATGCAGCAATTTTTGTGGACAATGAGCTTGTTCCCCTCCCCTGCATCAGCCATCACAGCCGGGACCGTAATCCGCGTCGCCTACGCCACAGCTCTTTCCATCCACTCCACCAACACGCTCACCAACAACGACAACAGCGTCCTCTTCCTCGAGACCCTCGGCGGAAGAAACTCCACCCTTCCAGGCATCGAGCGCATAGTCGGGCCCACTCTCCTCACCTGCGCTACAAAACTGCGCCCGTTCTCTGCGTCCGAGCCCCGCAGCCATGTCCTGGCCGACGCGCAGACTTCGCTCATCGCGCGCATCCAGCACGAGAATTTCCCGCTGCCGCGCCTCCTGCCCCTTCTTCCGCGCCTTGAATTACGCTCTCTGCTCATGATCGAGGATGCGGACACTTTCCTTGCGACAAGGCCGGATGGCTACTTATTTGGAGATGGCACCTCCGTGTTGAGACTGGATGAGGGAGATGCGATGCCTGTGATTTTCAGATGTACGATTCGTGGGGATGTGATAGATGTTGATGTGAGGTTCGATGAGTGTGTGATTGGGCGTAAGGAGGTTGAGGCATTTGTGGAGACTTTTCTGGCAGAAGTGGATGGAGATATGTAATCATGTGTGCCTATGCGCATGGATGCTTGAGAACTGAAGCAAGGGTTATATACTGCTCTAACTGAGAACTGTCTTATTAGAACACGACATAGTTATCTGTGAGGTTTTAGTTACAACGTACAAAAAGCCGAAGAATTAACACTTGTCCCGAGCCTCCCTTATAGTTACAGTGATTATCTGTTGTAGTATAGTAACTTATACAGCCTACGAAAGCTTAAGTTTAGTATTCGGCTTCCTGCTACACTGCTTTTAACGTGTTTCCTAGTTTCCAGGGTCTTATTACTTTCGTATTCAGGCGGAAATCCGAAAACCCGCCCTATTACACTATCCGATAGTAGTGGCATTATCAACTTGCGAAGCTAAAACAATCTAACAGACCATAGTAATAACAATATATTTAACATAATTCGTAAAGAAAGGCGGATATCTTGCAGATAAAGATAAATCCAGTGAGTAAACACCCACCCATAGAAGAAGGCTCTTAGGTTACAACCAGCAGCGCAGCTGCTTCGAGGCAAATAAAGGACGTAGAGACTATTTAAGTTGAAGACTAATATATAATTAATCTCCATGCGTTGTATCAAGATTTGGCCGTCTCTCCGGCCCCAGGAAACAATCAGTGACGCAGTATAATCACAAGTCTCTCATCTAGGCGAAGACTTCCACATAATTGTCAAGGTCGCCGAATCTTCCTGTGCTTTAGGATCGACTTTTCAGCATCCAGTTGTAACTTGCAGATAGGCTGGAAATTTCTATTAAGATAGTTGATAGATGCTACGTGTACCTGAGTTCATTTAAATATGCGTGTGTAGTACTGCAATATCAGTGAATGTCTCGGGTAACTCTTCCGCGGAATTACATTTCCATTTCGTTGCCGTTACATCATCGCCAGGGGTGACTCATTCCAGTGAGTCAACCCCAAAGTATACTTACAATAGGGATAAATATCGCAATCCACGAACCCTCATCATTAGAAGAAACGTTAAACATCATCAGCGACACTAAACACCCTCCCATTTCATCAGAAATATTATTTTTATGATGTCTTCCTCGGCCTCTTCCGCAATCGGCGCCCCCCTTCACATCCGTCCTCTCCTCAACTCACTGCACAAACTCTCCCTGGACCAAGAAGCCGCGCTAAAGAAAGACAAAGAGTCGAAGCGGTTCGTATCATCGGATGCAGCCGAATCAGCAGACTTTGATACGCTCATGCGCGACAAGTTCATTGCGCTCGACGAGGACAAATGCCAGTTTTTGTACCAGCTTCTCCGGGCAAAGGGCGCCACCACTGTCGTAGAAGCGGGCACAAGCTTCGGCGTCAGCACGATCTACCTCGCTCTTGCGGTTGGTAGAAATGCGTCGGCTTTGGGGAAGGAAGGGCGGGTGATTGCGACAGAAAAGGAGGATGAGAAGGCTGAGAAGGCTCGTACGTACTGGAAGGAGTGCGGTGAGAGCGTGGAAGCATTTGTTGACCTGAGGGTTGGAGATCTACTGGAGACTTTGAAGAAGGACGTCAATGATGTCGACCTTTTGCTTTTGGACAGTGAGTGCTATGTCATTTGCCTTCTACACTGAGCTATTTGCTAACAGGTATCAGTTTGGTCTCCGTTGGCGCTGCCAACGCTAAAGCTGGTTCAGCCAAACATGAAGCCAGGCGCGGTGGTTGTGACTGATAACACTGTTGTATCGGCGGAAGGGTACAAGGAACTCTTAGAGTATCTATATACGCCAAACAGCCCCTTTACGAATGTTACTCTTCCGTATACTGGAGGGTTGATGATGAGTGTATACTACCCGTAGTTGATGGTAGTATAGAGCTCATGAAGGAAACGGCCAATCTCCCTGCACAGTTATCTGTAGAAATATCAGAGGATAGCACAGAAATCGAAACCATACCTGCTCTTTAAGCCGCAGTTGGCAAAACATATTCTAGTAATCACTGTTAATTCTCAAAAGTGCGAGATAGCGTTGAAGACATCGGGAGTCTACATCTTCCTAGGTATCCTCGCAAATAAACTCTTCTCCCTGTACCTCTACACTATTATAGCACTTTGGAATGTCTCCGGATTAAAAGTAGTGCCCTACCTCGAAACTAATATCTTTCTCCGCATCGTCTTTACTCTCGGCGCCTCTTCCTCCTAAATACACCTTCCACCGGTTTCCGGATTCAAGGATCGTCATGTCTACATTCCGGCTCAGTAGCGACGGCATCTGCATCTTTCGGTATTAGACGGCAAAATTTGTTCTCCGGGAGCTAAGAAGCTTGTCTTCTCTGATGCCTCTCTAGACCGGTTAGTACCTACTCGATATCTATAATTTCGTCTGGTAGGGGGTAGCCAGCGGCAGCAGCAGCAGCACTAACTGGAACTTGGAGATTACCTTCGTAATTCCCTCCCTTTTTGTTCATTGTGCCCACCTAATTATCAGCGACAGCGTTGACGCCAGCGACCAATGTATACGTCTTTCCTTTTCCTACTCCGTGCCTAACTCAGCACAGAGGCTGATGGAAAAAGATGTGACACGTTTTTCCCCGCCTTGTCCTCTTCAGCCGCACCGCACTGCCTTACAGCACCTGCGACGAATCCATGCAGCGGCAGCTGTTCTTGCCGTGAAATGAGTGCTTTCCGACACTGCGTCCCTCACCTGGGCTCTGGATGCAAAAACGTGTTCTGGATGCCGTGTAACGCGTGCCGCTTGCTGTTCTCCCGGTCGGGCATTGGGAACCCTACACTACAGAACGGGCCGCTCGCCATTCAGCACCGCTCTTGACCTTCACGAAGAAAAAATACCCATCATTAGGCACAAAGACTATTGAATGACCGCGACCCGGCGATCGGGTTCGCTTTGGTTCTGGTACAGTCCTGCATGAGAGCAGGCTCCGGCTGCCGAGGAAGAAACGTCGATCGCGATCGCGACGACAACACAAGCGTCAAAAGCGGCACAGCCAGCGGATGTGCAAGGCACAAAGACAGAGGGACACAAGTGATGGGAGGGCTGTGGAACTGCACGATGGCGATGGCGATGGCGAGATTCCTGGTCGTGGGAGGACAGACGCCTTGCGCCCGTCGAACCCTGTAACTACGGAGTCTGGGCAAGTCGTCCCGCGAGACTAACATATTGGTATTGGATCAAGCTCACGCATGGGCTGCGGAAGTATAAAAGCTGAGGCTTTCCAGGCGTGCCGTGCCGTGCCTGCGTTGTCGTTGCCGATTCTCCGGGCAGCGCATTCGTGGGGCGTTTGTTGGCCATCCACTGCCCCTCCTCATGCTCGCAGCAACAAAAATACGCACCGCATCACCTGCTCCACCATGCACCAGGCCGCACACGCATTATTAGTTTGGGCTCTCGCCCCTGCAGCAAACACCTCACCCAGGAGCTCGCTCCTCCGTCTCCGCTTGTTCTTAGCGGCTAGCCGATCGCTCCGCAGCCGCAGTTCGAAGCCTGATCCACGGCCTTCCTCTCTAGATATTCATCGCGCGGATACTTGCAGTTTCGGAAATGATGCTCCTCCTGTGCGGAGATCCACAAAGCCTCACGAGTGAGGGGAAATGTAGCTGGATGCACCTGCTCGGGTGAACCGCTCGCTCGGAACCCGGAGTGGGTTCGCAGCATTGGGCCATCGGCGGTGCCGCAACCTTCCTTTTTCCGACTTACTACTCAGCCAGCAAGCGAAGCGATCTGCATGCTTCTCCGCATAGTTAACCTTTTCCACCTTCTCGAGATCTAAGCCTTCCCATCGCACCACTGCCTGCAATCTCCAACATGCCCCGCCATCTCCGTCGACTCCGCGCACGCCCAGGTGGGATGCGATCGCCCAGCACTACATGTGGTGGCCTGATCAGCCCGATCAACCCATCTTGCTCACTTCCAGGGCTAAAAACTCGCTCAACAGCCTTCTCCGCAGCCTTCGCTCGCGATCTCGCCAATCATCTCGCATATCTATATGCTACGAACAACTACGTTTCCGGCTGTACCCCGCTTCATTCTGCGCAGCTTCATGCGCGTGACAGTCCTCTACCAACCATCCAAGATTGCATTGCATGATACATTCGGCATCTGCAGACTAAAGAAGCGTAAAACCGACCCCCGAAACCGACTTTTCTTGGATTTCCGTATCTGTGTAGCCGAGGCGTTTATGGACTACTTTATCCGAAGCAGGCTTGTTAGAATTAAGGTTTCGTGAGGCTCAACTCACGGTCTCTCAGGTATTTATTTGAACCACTTTCTTCCCACTAATAATTCAACCGCATCCATCTTATCATTCGTTCGTTACCCAACAGCAAACATGCATTCTCTGCCTATGCTTTGGGTGCTTGCCGTTGGCACAATTCTCTTCATACTACCAGCTGTATTTGCTGCTACCTATCCTGTCCTAAACGAGTCTGCATCTACCCCGCTCAACATTAGTTCCGCCGACGTCGCACGACAGTTGGGACCGCAGCTCTCTCAAAATGCTTCCATCTACGCCGAAGACGATCCCAGGTTTGCGAATGCTACTTCTCGCTGGCAATCGTATAGCGCTCCCAACGTCAGCGTTGTGGTAGAAGTCGGGACTGAAGAAGATGTCGCCACAACAGTTAAATTCGCCAACCAGATTGGAGTTCCTTTCCTTGCCATAAACAGAGGCCATGGGACTACCGCTACGCTTGGCAGACTACAGAATGGGATCGAGATTTGGATAAACCAGCTGGATAACATTGACGTTTTCGCCAACACCTCGACGGCCCTTTTCCAAGGGGGCGTATGGGTTGAGCAGGTCATGGCAACCCTGTTGGATGCCGGCTATGTTACCGGTATGTCTAGCTTTATATATACACAAACTCTTACGCTAATATGTCTCAGCCACGGGGGCGTGTGGATGTGTAAGCTTGCTGGGTCCTGGCCTTGGAGGAGGACATGGCCATTACCAAGGGCATTTCGGTTTGATTACCGATGGAATAACCTCTATGAACGTCGTTTTGGCAAATGGTAGCGCTATTACAGTGTCTGAGAACTCGCATCCAGATCTGTTTTGGGGAATGCGAGGTGCCGGTCACAACTTCGGTATAGTAACCAGCTTCCATGTGCAAATCCACCGTCCAGCTGTGGAAAACTGGTACTATGCTATCTACGTATATACGGAGGACAGGTTGGAAGCACTCATGGAAACCCTCAACGCCCTGGTGGGAGAAAAGCAGCCGAAAGAACTTTCGTATCTGGGTTTCTATCTCTGGAACACTTCCATCAGTACAACTGCTCCTGTTTTACACTGGACGTTCTACTACATTGGCACTCCTGAGGATGCGGCACCATATCTCGAACCATTCCAAGCTCTTGGTCCTTCGTTTGTTACAGACGACATTGTACCATACCCGGAAGTTCCAAACGCGGCAGGAGCCGGTTCCAGGACTCCTCTTTGTGGCAAGGGACTCACACGCATGCACTTCTCCACCGGCTTAGATAAGTACAACGTCACAGCCAACCGGCAGGTTTTCGATATGTTTAAAGAGGAAACAAGCACTCCTGAATACACGGAGAACAGCGTTATCGGCTTCGAAGGCTACCCTCTTCAAGGCTTCAAGGCTGTAGATCCCGACTCGACTGCCTACCCCCACCGCAGCGATAACCTCATTGTGTAAGTATGATCCTATCGAAGTGTGCAAAGTTCAAAGCTAACCAGCAGTGACAGCGTTGCGATCATTGGATACGAACCTAATGAATCCCTCGACTCCAATGCCATCGCATGGGGAAACGAGGCTGTGCAGGTTTTGGTGGATGGAAGCCAAGGACGCAACAGGACGACCTATGTTAACTACGCTCTTGGGGTAGGAAATGAGTCGCTTGAGTCTATTTATGGCTACGAGTCGTGGCGGCTGGAGAAGCTGAAGGACTTGAAGAGGCGCTTTGACCCAGAGGAGAGGATCAGCTTCTACAACCCGATCCCTCTCTGAGCTGTTTGAGCTACGGCGGCTGACGAAGCTGGTAGAGATAAAGAGACGGTATAGCCTGGACTATAGGTTCAACTTTTATGCAGCGGGTGGAGCAAATGAAAGAGCTGAAGAGACGGTAACCCGGACCAGATGATAAGCCTTTCTCGCCCGATTTCAATTTGATATTTCTTTTCCATCGATCACCAAATGGGTATTAGGGGATGCAGACTTTATAAGAAGCGAAAATAAGGTAATCAGAGTCAAGTGCACCGACGCAGAAATTCTCTAGTCGAACTAATATTCGGTAGCAGTAAAGCTAAAAGAGTGTAGATACCAATGTAGCTAAAGCGAGAGATGCTGTCTTTCTTCACTACCTGCTAATTAGTAATTCCTCTGTTAACGACTCTGTCCTGGTATATTACTTCATTCCGTTCGTCGATTACTCGTATAATAGTCACGCCAAGCAGAGCAAACCTAAAAGCAGATGGCGCTGAATACATGCTTATAACTCTCTTTACACTCTTGAAGAAGTGAAAAAAGCTGCCGCTGTGGATAATTGGAAGGCAAACAACGCCATCATAACGGGATGCCGGAGCAAAACAACCGGGAAAGAACGCTACAGGATCATGTTTAGCCGCTCCGTTGCAATCCCTGTTCTGTTATTAAACGTTGTTAATCTAGTCTTCATATCAGTCTGGAATTTGCTTCACCACTAGCTACGTTGGGTGATACCATATCATCTCTCATTCGCTCTCTCAACGATACCACCTGTGGACACTGCCTCGCAACGAGACACAATATTCAATGTAGCTGGACGAAGGCATTTGAATCTCAAGAACAACCTGCTGCAACACTCTACAAGCCGGTATCACTACGTTTTTTAAAGGGCGCAGGTAGGCGAGCCTTGTGGATGTTATCTCACGCTTAGGCTATCTATAAAGAGGTTGAAGCCGGGTATGCCGCTGGTCGGAAGTTGCAGCTCCGCAATTTCAGCTGCGTGCCATCTGCCAAAATCATTAGACGGTAACTTCGACGAAACGAAGCCCTGAAGATAGGGCGCTATACCGCAGGGGCATCGGGAAAATGAGGAAGAAGGGTCTCGTGTTAGACACTATTGCTTTACCAGTAGGCCCGTAGAGCTGCCGGTACTAGGTAAGCTATACGCTTAGAGTTTATTCTCTTAGCAGGCCCTGTAGGTGTTGTTTGCTCCTCTACTCTCTCATTAAATACATAGCAAACAAGCAGAGATCTATCCCAAAGAGTGATAAGTTGTTGCCTCACAAAAGAACAATTATAAATGAAATTCTTTAAAGAGGATCCGAGAAACTTCCCTATACGGGACGAATAGTAAATAGCTATTATAAACCTGTTCGCCCTGCACCGTCCAGTGCGTACCAGTCCACGCAATTATCTAAGCACCTGTATCACCTCAAAGACGCCGAGCAGCAGGCGCGAATATTTCCGAAAAACTTTACAAAAAGAACATTAACTTTTAATCAATTATACATTCCCGCTCCTGTTAGAAAGCAACATATAACGAATTGGGTACAAACGACTTTCAAAAAATCACCCAAGCACCGAAGAACTCAACCCCAAGTCCGCTCGCCACACAAGGTGATAAGAGTACCCTTAAGCACCACCACCAACATCCTCAAGGCGGGATATCCACAGTGGACTGGTCGATAAAGTCCTCCATTTCCCTCATCCGCTGCTCATGGATGAGCGCCTTGGAGCGCTGCCACATAGCCTGGTTAAAGCCGGCCTCGTAGTCATTATAGTCGATGGTGCAGCGAACCCACGACGTCTGCTTTGCGCGCGAGACCTGGCGCATGCTCTGCGTAACTGCGAAGCTGACTAGGCGCACGACTGCATAGGCACGGATGCGTTGTCAGAAATAGGTTCAAAGTTGTTCAAAAAAAAAAAAAAAAAAAAAAAAAAAAAGATCGACATCGATTATTTATTACATTCTTACCAGCCCCGGGTAAGAGTATAGATATCTTTTTAACCGTTGCCCTTTACCACGTAGAAGTAAGAAACTGCAGCTCTATATAAATTCTATTATGTATCTAAATTGCCAACCGAGATTCTATCGCGCTTATAATGCAAAAGGTAAATCATTTGGACACGCTATTAAAATGCATTAAGACCTCATATTACCAACCTTTTAATAGATGCTCCGCCTAGAGAAATACAAGACTGGCTATCCACTCCGGAAAGAATCTAGGTATACGCCTTTATTAGCAAAATGTCTTCCTACCGAAACTTATATTGAAAATAATTGTAGCATTGTTTTTAAATGCTCCTCCTTCTCTCAGTCGACAAGGTTACACTCGGTATTCGTCCACGTTCTACATCCGTTAGTCCCTTTCCGGACCTCCTCCTTCTGAATAAGCCTCTCATTCCGTCCGCCTCTTTTTCATTTGTACTGAATTCGAGCGGGCTGTTTGCCGTTGGAGTGCGTTCCACTTGTTGTCTGTGATGATTTTCGGCTTTCTCCACGGGATCGAACTTCAACATCGTAGACATGGTTTTCCGAACATTTTCTAAGCCTTCTTGCACAAGGTCTTGCAGCCAATATTTATGTCCACCCATTTTTCTTCTGTAGCCATCTCTTACTGGAAATAGGACAAATCGGTAGAGCACATAAAATGTAACCTTCAAGATGAAAGTGGTGATAGAGAACAAAAGCCTAACGGTGAAAAGAATAATAGAGAACAAAGGATGAAAATCACTTTTCACCATTGGAATGATGAGTCCAAGCTGATTCATAAAAAGATCTTTGATGCAGCGGAAAGCCGAGAAAACCGGCAGAACGAGTGTTTTGCCGGTCGTTTTGGCATTTGCTAATGCAAAGACAGTAATGACCAAGGCAACCAGTGCTAACACGATCATTCCAGCCAGCACATGTCCACTTGGGGCGTTGTTCATGCTGAAAATCCCAGTGGCGAATCCTAGGGGGAGGAATACCACAGTGACGTAAGTAAAGAGATTGGTGTTTTCCGAGCCCCTAAAAGAAATGTCTGACCGGATTGAATCCAATCGCTCCGGAAGTGATTCGCGAAACGCTTTTATGCTAGCCCTTAGCCGTGTAATCTCGCGTATACGCCTGTCGTTGAGTACAGTCATTTTCGAAATTGCTGCGCGGTACTTTTTTTCGTCCTTAGTTGTCCAGCGTGGTTTTTCCAATTTTCGGTCATCATCCCGACGATTCCATTGGCTTATTCGCTCGATATTCTCGCTCAAGTCATCTTCTAGTGCTTGGAGGATCTGTCCGTAAAGCCGCCAGTTACCAATGATTGAGTAATAATTGTCGCTCGTGCCTTGCTTGAGAAGTTGATACCCGCCCCTAATTGCCTCTGCTAGTGAATTAAGAGGCCGAGAAGCTTCCAAAACTAGTTCGTCTTGAGGAATGCGGACTGTTTTAAGGCCATTGCCAATTTTGCTGGTAAAATCCTCCAGTTTGGGCGGTTTAAGGACCTGCTTGCTCACCCAGTCAAATATGTATTCGGTATTGCTATGCATCTCATCGAGCATTTCGTATAACAGAAGCAGTTCGAATACTTTCCGCTGTTGCCAAGCTTTTTTCTTAGGGTCCTCAAGGGCCGTATGTTGAAATTCTGATAGTCGAGACAGGAGGCTTCGTGGTTCTCCTTGGCCATGGTCCAGGAAGTGACACGTCCAAAATCGGTCAAAAAAATCTCCAACGAATCGGAAGCTCATTGTGGCACGGAGAAAAAGAGCCTTCTCACCCAAATCGCTACTGTTGTCTTTTCCTTCTCCAAGCCTCAAAAAGCTTAAAGTTGAGATTCCGCTCTCAATACGTTGGAGAATCTTAGGGGCGTCTTCTTCTTTTGCTAACTTGAAGAATGATAAATGGATCTCTGTTTCCCATTGGTTTAATATGGCAGTGGCTCCGTCGAAGAAATACTTCTCGTGCTTGGCATGTCTCTTGAAGAAGTGTGATATATTTTCCCTCTCGGCATCTGGAGAGGCATAATAGCAAAGTAACGCTGTTACTTCATCGCCGTGAGGCAGCCATACAATCCGTTTCTTGGCAAACTGCACCGTTCGTCGTATACCCAGGGATTCTAATATCTTACCGTTATTGACTGGTTGGGATCCTAATCCTGGGTGGCAGCTTTTTTCAGAATTGCTAGTACATTGCTTCTTTCGTTTCTCTTTCGTCTTTTTAGGAATGTCGATAACTATTCCCCTCCAACTTGTATCCGATTTCTGCAGCTCCGATCTATCATAGGATTGGAGTCCTCTGTCCAGTATTTTCCCTAGCCCTTTGCGCTCAACATTCAAGGGTCTCGTAAAGCTGGGCCGGAGTCCGAATCTCAGAGCAGCTGGACTGTTTTGCAGCCAATCGTCCATTACCTCGACGAGGCTGCTTGGGTCAACAAGCGTGCTAAAGTTGACGAAAGGTTCACTTTTCGTAATTATTTGGCCGATCCTTTCCATGGCTTTGAGCGGTATTGCGCTTTCACCAGTATTAGAAGCGAGAAGAGTTCCTTTGACACCATCAGGGTTGTCGAAACCAGTAGATGATCGGTTACAATGACCGTGTTCTTTAGCCCACTGGTTATCGAAGAACTCCCTGCCATATGTCCAGAGTACGTAGGGTGTCTCAAATGCCGCATTCCAGAAGTTATCTTGGTACATCTCGTTTTGGAACGGTATTGGCTCCTCGTCCTCATCGAGTAAGCCAGCAAATAGTCCATTTATAGAACATCCACTCAGCAAAGCGCCTGCGGTAAGTTCCATGGTCCTTTCTATTGGCAACTTGTTGGTTCGTACTCCTTGGCAGCCGAGGATAAACGTCAAGGCATACCAAAGCGGCTTTTCCCAGTCGAGGTTTTGATACTCGTCGTGGTATGCTTGTGCTTCTACAGTGCGTTTCCATCGGCTATCAACGTACTTCAAGGCTTTCCCAACTGCTTGGGATCCTTTCCGTTGCTTCTGCGACACCTTCGCTTCTTCTTGAAAGAAGTGTACGACCTTTAGGTCTTTCTTTTCGCCTTTGTGAGCTTTCTTTTCGCCTTTGTGAGGTTCCTTTTCACTTTCCTCGAAGTAGAGATTCATGATATGAAACAGGATTGTGTCCTTGGAGTGAAAGAGAAATCTGCTTTCGTTCAGGGTTCGGCGGGTAACAATAATCCATCGCTTGGTGATAGGGCCTTGTACTGTAAATCTCTGCAGGATGTTCCTTTTGACCTCCTCAAAACAGTAAGTGTTAAAAATCGAGGGGGATCCCAGGTCCTCTCCGCAGCTTAGGTCCGATGTTAGATCCATCTCGTTTTCGAGTCCAAGGAACTCCACGCATTTGATGGCCAGACAAATCAGGACATGATCTATGAGCTTGAACTTTTCGCTCAACTCTTTGGGATTCACTGAAAAGGCATAAGTTCCGCGAGCATTGGTTTTGTCCAAGCGTGAAATCCAAGGTCGGATCTTGGGTCGAAGACCTTCTTGAAGATGCACCTGAATATCTTTATAATCTTCAGAATAATCGCGAAAAATATTGGAATAGTACCAGAACACTTTTAGGAGCTGCATCGGTGTATCCACGAGCGACAGAGGAGGCAAATACCCCCACTGTGTAATACATTCTCCAGTTGGCCAGTAATGTGGACAGAAGCTGCCCTCATGAGATTTCGCCTTACTGTATATCCACTTGACGTGGCCTTTGAGCGTATTCCGGATTCGCCCACAAAGTGTGTTGAGGTGACCCTGGACATGTATACACTCAATGCATCGTTCCTGATGATCCAAGCAGCCACATTTGGTTGTATCCATAAGGTATGATCGTAAGGATTGGTTGCTGTGGTTGGAGAGGTACTCAAGCATGGAATGCAGAAATATAAATGCCGAACTAGAAAATGTTAGTAATCTATTACCCATATGGCACCGATGACTTACAAGCTAGCCCTTGATGCAATGCGGTGACCTGATATGTCTCCGCATGTTAACGCCACGGCAAGGCTGGCGTTAACCTGAACCGCGTGTCCAAAGGTTGGTGCCTCGAGTACTGGAACGCTGCAGACTGAGAGAATATGTTCTAGATTGCGCCGGGTAGTAAAGTCGAGCTGTTCATTCCTCGAGAACAGGATTTTTTTGAAGGTTGAGGGTAAGGTTTCAAGTATCTCCTCTCTCATGGAGCCCATGTCCTCTCCTGATATAAAGGAATTTCTCCATTTCTGATCTCTCTCAAGCAACTGCAGCCTGTATGCTAAGGTGATGTCGAGCTTTCTAAGAGCCTTGATTTCTTTTCTTGCATCCTCGTCCAGTTCGATGTACCAGTCATCACCGCTTTCCTTGACCCTTTGAGCGTTGCCCTTGGCGAAAGGTGTGATTATTAGTGCTACTGACTTGGGCCCCGCGTCGCTGGAGTAGTCGGTCTCGTCAATCCCCATATCCTGAGCCACGCTTCTGCTGATTCTTCGATAGATGATAAGACTTCGATTATTCGGGCCGGGTTTGAAATCTGGATTGCTGACGCTGTCGTGATTGAACTTTGTTTCTTGGACGAAGTCTAGGTTCCGTATACAGATCCGTGTATCAATTCTCAGTTTATCTAGTTGTGGTTCAGAATTCGCTGCCTCGTCGAACTCCAAGTTATATCTTTGGAAGATCGTTCCGTGGTGACAAAAGTACTGAATATACAACTTAGTGAAGTGGGGCTTGTTTGTTGTTTGTATTTGATGGTGTAGCTGGTAAGCCTTTCGATCTTGGTTTGCCTGGTGTTCATGTCCCTGTTGGGTTTTGAAAAGCGGCCAGCAGTCATGGAGAAACGCCACGGATGGTGTACAGCGCTCACAATCTTCTAAACCGGCAAATACTCCGCTTAGGTCCAATCGGAAACCTTTGGATGGGTCTTTAACGTGATCCATTAGGTCACGTTTCCGGGCGTCCACAAGATAAGGCATTTTAGTTCCTTCAATATCAGCGGAAAAGAAGCCAGATCGGCCGTACCCAAGGTATCGGGAGATTTGCATAATATGACCGTACGCATTAACACTGGCAGTTGTGCCCTTGGATCCGAATGAGATGTAGCTTTTTCTGTTTTTCGAATTTTTTTGGAAACTCCTGGGAATTTGAGTTATCCATTCTTCTGGAATGGGCTTGTGATCAAATCGGCTTTGGACGTCTATAGCGCAGTCAGAAGAGCTCACAAAGTAGCCAGTAGACTGTACTTACAAGATATAGAAGCCTTAAAGCTGGAATCGGATTCTTCCGGTGCATTTTGCCACTCTATGTCTGGTAGTTCGTCGTCAGACAGCATCGGTCTTCTTAGACCTTGGAATGTGATAATAGAAAGCGAAAAAGAGTTGACTATAATCCTGAGGCTGACGAGTAATTTTCTAAAGAGTATTCGAATGTAATCCGTAACTGCTGCTCTTTAAAGGTCTCTCATAGTCCCCTAACCAACGCCATCAGCCTTCAATTTATCTTTTAGCTTCGATTTCTGAGTACCGAGGCACTTTGACTGTGGCGTTTGCTGCATGAAGGCAAACATATATCTGCAGTCAGCACACGCCGAAAATAATATCCAAAAGAGGGCGATGTATGTATGCGTCCAAAGACGGTATGCTCTCGCCTAATACTACTTCTTTCCTTGCCGATCTTGGCCACGTGGACCTAACGCCCAATGCGGGGACGCGATCTGCGATTACATGCATGAAGATCTGACGACAAACTTGCTTCTTACCCTGTCCATACTGTTGATCCAACAATATCAGCTTCCTCTTTTGGTTCTTCCGCGCCACGCCGCGCATGACAAGCCGAAAGGGTATCCGGTCAAGACTTATTTTGCGATAGCTCCGCTTACACTTCAATCAAACAAACGAGATCGCATGGGCGGTTGCAGGCTGGAGAAAGCCGAAGATTATTTCTTCACGATTCGCTTTGCAGTAAGAGCTAGCAGTTTAACTGCATGCGCCTCGACACGTAACTCGGCGGCTGGTGTGGGCGATGCCTGGCGCCCTGACGTGTTGGAGGCGAGAGTTTAGAATATTGGAGATTGGAGGGCGGCTGCGGCGGCAATTCCACAAGGCTGCTCGAAATATACCTGGCTTGTGTAACTCTGTAGGGGCCGTCGGACAAGTCCAAACCACTTATTTTCGCCTCCTCTCTCCTTGGGCACGTAAGCTCTCTACTCTTCCACAGATATGCCGTACGGCAGGAAACCGTACACATCCTAAAATTCCGGATATTGAAGCAGAGATGTTGTGCAGCGGGGTAAAATGCAAACATTGTGCCTGTTAGAAATAGCCGTAGTCAGCTTGATGATGCGGGGCTGTTGGGGCGGCATTTGTAGAGACGGACGATGCAAAATCTCCACTGCTTCTCTTGCATGTCATTAAGAAGATGCGCCGATATGTCCAGAGGCCGCTATGAGAAAAATCATGAGCTGTATGGTTGCTGATAGACATATATTACTCTGTGCTGTTTGATGGTGAGACAGCTTCTCCCATTTTCATTCTAACAAGCGAGCATTTTGGATGTAGCCAGAACGGCTTTGTAGAACTCGATGCGCTCTTTGACCAAAGACTGAAAATGAAGACCGAAAGAAAAGAACATAATAGAGTAGAAGCGAAAAGAAACGTTAAACTCCAAAGCCTAAAGTTCGACAAACGAATTCAAACAAGCTTGATTTCTTGAAAAGACTCTCTTTCAAACAGTTTCTTTCCGCCCATCTCCCAATCCACTGTCTCAAATGTGCCGATACGCTAGTATTCGCCAGGTGTGCTTGTTGGGTATAGCAACAAACCCAGATAGCACTTCCACGGCCAAGTTTCATACCAGCTATCTATGTATCCATCGAATTCTTCGGGTGTGAGTTCTCTGCAATCCACGTTACGCGAGCAACTTATTATAAGCAGCATATGGATATCCTGCTTCTCAGTCCCTTTATCCTCGTCGATCATAAGTTCGTTGGCAGACTTGTCCAGAACATGGTTAAAATCCAGAAACCATTTTCCCAAAAATAACCCAGAAGACTGGGCGACGTAGAACCAAAACGGAGGCTTTCGGGATATAGTAAAGTTTCTGACCAAGCAGAGCTTTCCTTGTAAGGTAAGATGGCCGTCCAGGATTCTCCCGAAAGCACTACCTCCGGCTATCACGCAGTTTGCCTCAGTTAAACTGCACTGCGGCTCCCAGACGTCCGAACCACCTCTCCACTCGACGTGCTGTTGCTGACATGCCCAGCTCCATGAAGGGGCAATACACGGGTCAGGTGTTCTTGTCAGCCGGATGAAAGCAGAGAGACCTGTCGGCCAAGGGTTTCTTGTAAACCGTCTCCATAGAAGACCCTGGTGTAAATCTTTCTCCCAGATACCAGCCAGATATCGGCTTGATGTTCGCTTCGCAACTACCTTGGCCAGCGAAGAGATAGCAGGGAAGCGATCAATTGGAAATGTTAGCTGTTTCCTTGCGTATTTGCTGGCTTCCTGATACCAATTCCAGAAAATACCTGTGGCAATGGAACCATAATCTTCAAGAGAAGAGAGGAAGCTATCGTTATAAGCATATCCCTTCGTAAATCCGTCCTCTGAAATAGCATCGGAATTGCAGTAGTAGTACAGCATACTCTTACTGCAATAAAGTAAATTATCGGAGAACCTCCCCTCTTGAACCGTCCATCCACGTTCGGACCACTTGCTATTGTAGACAGCAGCATAATCTAAATCATCTTCAAAGCATTCGTGATTGGTAGTCCAGGAATAGGAGCCTCCACGTATCGAGAACTTTCCACAGACGTGCGGATTAATCCGTGATTGAAATGGTATAGTAAGGCCCGGTACTCTTCTGTCGCGAAAAAGGCCCTCGTTGCAAGAATCGACCGAGCCGCAAACTGTAACATATGCGTGACTGTACACGCTAACCATAATAGATGACTCTTTTTCCCAATCTTCGAAGTTGTCTTGAAGAATGCAGAGGGAATCTATCCAGAGAAACTGAAGGTTCAGTGACCGGGTCAGGATGACAGCATCTTGAAAAGTCAGAGGTAACGCATCCAATGGTATACCCTTAGCCATAGTTGCCAAGGTTGAGCTCTTGAGTTTCAATGGAGGCAGATCATGTCCCCAGCAGTGACTTAGAGCCGCGTATGGGGTGTGCCGAGAATCGAAAAGCTCCGGGCGTTCGCTAGATATAATCAACCGGGGTTGCTGATTGTGTACCCCTCCGCCTACATCCAGGACTCGAGTGGGAAAAAAGCGGCTTGTTAGGTTTTGCATACACCTTCCATGCGTATGGTGACAGTTATCTAGCCAATTCCTGATGCGCATTGCGTTGCATTGGGAAAAGGGGTTGGGATCGAGAACTCTGCGACGTATGTCCAACCATGTTGCACAATGACCTATAAATTCTTAAGTGTTAGTCTTGACGGTAACTAACCCATATGTTCAAGTTAAGTTACCTGCTTCACATTCGACTGTAAACAGAAGTTGTTTGTTGATATTGACGTCAGATTGTTCTTGCATAAATGCTACGTTTACCTTTATGAGTGAAAGCCCCCATTTCGAAGACCACCTGTATTTAAGGTTGTCTATTTTGATTCTTTTGCAATCATGGTGTTCTCCCTCTCCGCCTTCTGGGCCCTGTATCTCTTTAAGGATTGCAAGTAACAGTATTTTACAGAATTTGCAACCGTTGTGTGAGGATCGAGAAAGACACGGCAGGCCGGGCCATTCATCAATTCGCTTATAGGGCAGCGATAGATTTCGAATCTCCTCAGATCCTGAGCGGCGGCTCAAGAGATAGCTTTGTAACTTTAGGTTCTCAGAATTGGAAGAGCTATTACTAGCCCGGTTTGATTGCTCTGTGGGTGCTGAAGACGCTGTGGTATCCGTAGCAGAGTCTTCAAATGGGTACAGATTTATGTCTCCAGTAACGGAGTTTTCTTCCATTGGCTCGAACTCAGGGGAACCGAGCAGTTGATGCTGCCGTAGTATGGAAGTGTCGAGATGATACGGTTTCTCTGAAGGTGCTTTTTCCGATACGTTCGATGCCTCAGAATCAAGTTGTTCAGACAATTGCGTGCTGTCTCTCGTTGGAAATATGGTTGTCGTGTGTCCGTCCATTGTCTCTGCTGGGAAAAGAAAATCCCGGTCATCGACAATAAGAACCTGGCAATGGCGACAGAGGTCTCCCTCAAATTCGTCACCAGAATTGTGAGAGGAATCAGCAATGGATCCTTCCGAATGATTTCCAGGTTCATTGTGATCGTTACAAGGGTTTCCAGCTCCAGATTGTCTAGTGATGGCCTCTTCACTTACGGACGGCTCCTCGAGCCAACTTTCTCTTTCAACAGTCGTCATACTTTAAACAAGTACACCGCAACAATGTTAAAGTTAGCGTGGTTAATCCTCCCGAAGTGTAACCGTTTCATCGCAGGATGGTTTCGGCATAGGGTCCGAGTGTCCAGGTCTCCCTTGGAAAGTCCTCCTGGATGAGCGTAGTCGCGTAAAAGGAAGAAAGAGGTAGTTGCTTGGTTGTGGCGCGAGACCAAGCATCGTTATTGAAGTTTGTTTTCACATCGTCGAAGCAAAAGTCTTGCAAAAAAGCACGTGCTCTCCAGGCAGCAGGCGGGGTAGTAGGGGCCAGAAAAGTTGGCGGCAAAAACACCTTTTGCCTTACGATCCCTACCCTTTATTCCTAACAATCCTATAACACAACCCTACAAGCGGCTCCATTTGACACTACATGTCGCGCAAGATTCCGAGCTCTACCTCTTAGCCCAGGCTATACGGATTAATGATTGTGTCAACGCGGGCGCAACAAGCTACACAGGGAGCTTAGCCGCGGCTGGTCTAAGCAGAGAAAGTTGAGCTAAGTCTTAAGCCGCTGATTCAAAAGATGAAACATATCCATATCTATTGCGCAAGGGCATACTATCAGCTGTTCCGGAGGTGTCTGCGGGTTGCGGAAGAGACGGCGATGTCATGACTGAAGACAGAGTATGTTTCAGCTCGGAGCTTTAAAAGCTGCGAAACTGAAGAAAGAAGCACTGTGAGAAAGCTTTTTCAGTTTGTAAAGCCCAATGTAGCACATGCGTGGGCAGCGTGGCTGAGAGACGAGCGCCCTTCAAAATGCTCACAGCCAGCAGCGGCTCCGGGTCGCGTTCCGATCGCATCGCCGACCCGGAGCGCTCCGCAGCCACAGACTCATCCCGGAGGCACCACAACCAGGCCTCTTCTGCTTTATACGTTGGTAGGCCATCGAAAGAATCTGTATTCTATTCAAAGCAAAATTAATAAAACCTCATCGCTTCACGCACGCCGCGAATCTCCTCGTCGTCGTGCTGCATCTCCGGTCGCAAAGTTGACCCTCAACAACATAACTCTCTCACTTTCCATCAACTCCACACCCCCGCAGCAACGCCTTTCGTCAAGAATAAAGCCACAACTCAAGCAAATGCTCCTAGCCCGCAGGATCTCATATGAGGAGCCCTTGGAGCTCTGCACTCGCACCCGGTAACCCGCAGGCCGCAGTGCAGGCCTCGTTGTCGGTCAGCCAACCAGGCCAATCATCGATCGATCACCGTCTTTATACTACCTTCCCGTTTCTGCACCTGCGTTTCTCTCGCTCTTTGGCTGGCGGGTTGGAGGCGTAGATACTCGCATCATGTCACGTCCTGTCCACGCAAGTCGCAAGTCGCGACAGCCAAACCACAGCGCAGCACGCCAGCACCATCGCTGCACACCCTGCAACCGCATGCAACCACAAATACAAGCACATAGAGCCATCCTCCAGCTTGCTGCACGAAATTCCAAGTCCCCGCTGTGGCTGCGTATCGCTGCGCATCGCTGTGGGTGCTCGCAGCCTTTTCGCGTTCCTCGCTTATGGCGGCACTAGCTGGATCTTACTAGCGCATTTGGGCGGAACTTTGAACGGCTGATGCGAACGGTCTTTGGAATTGGCACGCGCGCACGCCGCCGGAACTAACCTGCCGTCTCCTCTTCCTGCTTCCGCGATCGCTGGGCTGCGATGCGCCTTCACCCACCCGTCTTTCTTGGCAGGCATCTTTTGTCTTCGTGATGGTATGTGGCATGTTGGAAGTAGAGATGGATTGAGGCTGAGGGACTTGCTGCGGCTTCTGCTGGCTTGGGACTGGATGCGCGAGTTTTTTCTTTGTCCTTTGGGTTTTTCGCGTGAGGCTGGGAAGATGTTCTTCGGTGAGCTTCTCTACCTTCTTTGGTTATGTGACTAATACTTGCCACAATGGCTCTTCCGAAAGCAAAAGGTATGCTGAGAAGCTTTCTTTGTCCGGTACTCCGTAGACCGACCTCTGTTTGCGTCGCACGCCCGGCGCGCTCCCACCACCGCCTCAACAACAACAACAACAACAACAACAACAGCAGCTGCCACGCTCGCCGAATTCCACTGCAAAATCCTACATGACTTCTAACGCTACCTCGCCGACACACTTCACCACCTCAGCGAAGAAACAGCGCCGCCGCACCCCCGCACGCCCTCAGTCCTCACCGCGCTCGTCACGCACAACCGCGCCTACCTCTCCGCGCAGTTGCAGCACAGCACAAGCCCTAGTCCGACGCCACCAACAGCAGCAGCAGCATCGATAGTTTATTTTCTCTTCCTTGTATAGCTAATAGATCCAAATCAATTCATCAAACGAGCGAAAAAAAGCTAGCTAGCCGCAAAAAGACAACACCCCAAGCTAGGAACCCCTCTCACCACACACCCCTAAGCGTCCACTACACCAAAGCCGCCACGCAACGGCAGTGGGCCGTGCATCTCGCAGCCGTAGCCGCGCCGCCCGTGCAAAATATACCCGTGGAGCTACAACCGCACCACTGGCGGCACTCGTTGACGATGGTACCTTCGCCGGTGCACTGGAGACGGGGAGGCTTCTTCGCCATGTCTGTTTGCGTTGTTAGTATCATCCTTTATGTAGGGATGTAAGGATGGGGCGGGGTGTACCGGCGCGCTTCTCCGTGTCGATGTTCTCGTTCGGGGCGGCAATCGCTGTGAAGGCCAGCAGGGCGGTGGCGAGGGCGACGGGTTTGAAGAGCATTTTCGTAGTGGGATTGGGTATGGAAAGAAGATTGCGATGGAGTATTATTTGGTTCGAGGTGTTGTTTCGTAGCGGTGGTTATTCGAGTTGCTGTTTGATGGCACTTTGCGAGGAGATACAAGGCGTTTATATACCTTTTCTTTAGAGACACGTGGGCATTTGTTTCTATCTATGTAACTAGGTCCAGTGCCCCGTCCGAGTCAGGAATAGGATGCCAACAGAGTTGTAATTCTTAGGGACGATAGTAAGAAGCTAGGAATCTCAGCTCGGAACCAAATATTAGCAGGGGAAAACCCTATATAGGGCAGATACACTGCTTCTTTAGGTATAGTAAATGTTAGTAAAGTAAAGTCCTTTCGATTGTTGTTCTAAAAGATTATCAATAGCTATTTCCTTTTAAAGGATAATACTCCCCTGCATACTCAGCCGCAGCTGTGAGATCACGGCGTAATTCTTTCGTTTTAAAGGAATCGGTTGGTTGTCGTTAGCTTTTAGTGCTGATGTGAAAGTGCTGGAAAAATGTAAAACGAAAGAGAGAAATAAGTGATGTAACAAATTGCTAGAAGAGGAAAAAGCTAGGGTTCTCGAAATTGCAGGGAAGCGCGGAGGCGGGTCTGGAGTGTAGGGTAATACGGGTGTTGGTGGTAGCGCGTGGATACTCGACACGGGTGGCGCCGGGCCTACGGACTAGGTGCGCTTATACCTAGTCCGTGTCCGTATGCATAATCCGTGTCCGTACAGGGCTGAGCTAGGGAAATAGCTGTAGTAGCTATGGTACGGCTTTAATAATTATTTTTTCCTATGCTGGATTATAGTCGTCCTTTGTATACTGATTCCTGAGGAAGGTAAAGAGCGACTGTTTTTGAATTTAAAGGAGATGCTACTACCGCAATGCTTGAGAATGCCTGAAAAGTTTCGGGTAGTATAAATTCGCTTATAATTCGTGGCCATAAGGGGTTCCTTTTGCGTTAAAGAGTAACTTTAAGAAGCTAGAGAGTTTTACGGAAAGGGTAGTAGGTCTGTAAGCTTACTGATGCTGCTTAATACTTTTTTGCGCGACTACGTCCACCACTGCGCTTAAATTCAAAGCTGACACTAAACAAGAGGCTAAATTAAGGTTATTCAAAAGGATTTCCGGTTATTTTACCGGGTATACAGCTTATCAGGTTCCGCGTTTGCCGTGTAGTCGCTGAAAAAGGAAGCACTAAAAATCGTATTACATAAGCGCTAACTGTATAGAGAGGAAACTACAAGGGTCCTGGGAATCCTTTGCTTATTCACATCTCGTGTTTTCGTATATGCTAAAAGTATCTCCTGTTCAAAAAGTACATGCGTTTGTCACTGTGAATCCGTGGCGAGACAGATTTTGTTTATAAAAGAGCACAGCGCAGCAGCTTTTCGGTTGCATCTACCTGCTTCATAACTTCGTGGATTCCTAGAACAACTTTCAACATGCAACTTTCTACACTTCTCCTTGGCGTATGCGCCGTCTTCTCTACCGGAGCTCTCTCCGCAGAGTACTTCAACGTAACCAACACCTACGTCACCTATGCCGCAAGGCCGCCACAAAGCGAGTTTATTGGAATCAACGTCTATGATCCTAGCTCCAGCGCCAGCAGTGATCTCGCTCGGTGTGAGGACGGCTGGTACACGAGCACGACTGAATGGCCACACGAATTCGTACGTACTACATAGTATGGACGTGACCTCAGTGGGCTTCAATACTAATTGGAAACTCTAGGTCGCTTGCGATGTACCATCATGGAGCTGGTATCTCTCGTCGTACACCAGCAAACACGACTTCGACGTCGAGCTCTCGCATTCATTTGATGATTCGGAACCGACTGAAGACGGGTACGTGCTGCCTTCTTATGTAACCATGTGTCTTTGGTACTGACTGGACTTTCTACTATAGCTTGACATGGCACCGGGAGAGATTTGGTCGCTTTTCTTTGACTGATGACGACTTCAATTGCTCCCCTGTCCATTCCGGCATGGTTGAACAATGCCGGACAGGCCCTCGTGATGTGCCCGTTTACAACGAGACATACACCAATGGGAATGGCACTGTGTTCTGGCGTGTTCCATAAGGGAAGACTGAGAAAAAGATTGAGGCATCGATCGCACTCTCAGATATTTTGTTTGCAGGATGGGAGATAACGCTTTTTGCATTGGACGTAGAACACATTCTTTAGTTTGCTATTGCTGGAGATTCGAAGAGTAACTGAACAGCCAAATTCAATTTACGGTCATGAGAGGGAAGAGAAATACAGAGAATCTTCCTTGCATATTAGCGACATGCTGTCTGTCAGCCAACGCTGACGCTTCTGCTCCATTACGTTGCCGTCTGTTGTTGTATGGAAGCTTTATTGTGTAGTGTTTCTATTCTACAGGATCTTCACAAAGAAATCAATCGTCCAAAAGACATTAACCACTCGCTTACAAGTCTCGCCCCCTGCCGCTGCCATGACTCACGTCAGCGTAATGAGTTGATGTGACTATCTGAATGAAACTTCTGTTGAAAGTAAAGGCCCAGCAGCGAGTGACGACAGTGGGAGATTGTGTGTGGGCACCTCTGCCCTCTGTAGCAGCAACAGCAGCAGCAAGGTAGCAACGCATTTCCCCGCGCCTCTCACCGCGAACCTAGCGCCTCGCAGCACTCAACCCTCAGCCCGGCCCCCAAGCAACTTTCGCGGCCCCTGCGCCAGGCCGATCCTGGCAGCGCAAGCTCGCAGCCAGGCAAAAGCCAAATCTGCAGTGAGACGTACAACGACGGGCGCTGGCCGCGCTAGCGGAAACAGGTAGGGACTCGCGCTGTCAACATTGGACGTCTGGGCCTGTTCGTCGCAGGCCGCATCCGATCAACGCTTTGTTCCGCGGAAAGTATAGCGCACAAACTCAGAGCTTTTCTCGTGCAAGGCACTGACGGTGCGTAAATGCCTGTTTAGACGCTTTTAGATGCGTACGAGCATGCTTGGGTGAGTTATTCTCGGTTGTTGATGGTGTTGAGATGGATATCTTCTTTGTTTATAGCCGTCCGGCTAGCCGGAACTGCAGATATTACTTAGGAAAGCTTTTGAAACTTGCCTGCTTGTAGATATGAGCGAGAAGTTGAGATTTTGCTTTAGCGGCTCGTATAATTGTTGCATGCGAATGGTTGAGATTCTGCAATTTCGGGATGGTGTTGTGCAGTAATTAACTATTTGGTTCACCGTAGCACTCAGAGCGGGCGCGTACAGCCGACGAGGCGGCGTTTTGCGAAGAACCCCCGAGCTCGTCCGGGCTCACGCCGTGCACCTTTACTGAATACTTTTCCACCGAAAAATGCCTCGTTTGCCTTCAATCCAAAGAATAAACTTGTCATTCAATTAGGCTTCCGAACGAATGTACGCAGCTTGCTACCAACAACTATTGCCTTCACCAATACAAACCGAAATCCCTACGGACAAGGCCTTCACCCCATCAAGCTTCACTCCTCACATACGCCCTTCTAAGTATTCATCAACAACCAAAATTCCTTTTAAACCTAAAGCTACGTACCCAGGTGTTGCAACTGCAGCTTCCACACTGGCGGTCAGACGTGCAAGCCTTCCCAGTTGGACAAGAGAACAGGATCTACAACATTGTCAGTTCAATTTGCTCTACGTCAGGATTCCAGTTCGCAGAAGTACCTCACAGAGACGAGCTTGGGGCGCTGGCATAGCTGCGACCGTAACGAGGCCAGCGATGTAGGCGATCCAGAGAAACTTCATGGCTGGAAACTGTGACTTGATATGTTGATTGCTTAAAGATTTGGGATTGTGAAAGCTTTGATTACGCGACTTGGATCTGCTCACTTGGTTCAATGTGTAAGGAGAGCAGCGACAAGAACCGGTTTATATATGCTCGAGCTTTGCAGTAGAATCGATCGGCCAACTTCAGCCCACGTCATCGTTGAAGATTTCAATTATCGTGGAGTGCGGGGTATGTTCGATCCGCATGTGTAAACTATTCTCGCGATTCTAAAGTAGCACGTGAGAACAGCTACGGCTAAACATGCCATTACCTACTCGCCAAGGTTAAGCTGACGTTCAACGGCATAGGCAGGGTACGATGAAGCATTCTCAAGTGAATTCACATTAGGTACGCGTTGCAGCTCTTTCGGGCACAGTGGTACGCATTGACGCAAAATTCGGGGAAACACATGCATTATATTGAAGGTCCATGTGCATCAGCAGGAAACAGTAGTACAGCTTCAAATATTGGATGATCCTACGCCCTTAGATGCTGCAGCATGAAAAGGAGCCTGTAAAGTTAGAGTGTGCCCGCTTCCCCGCAATACATGCATACACATGTAGTGTAACCAATTCTACCGGCTCCCCGCATCTCTAACTAGACACTTGCAGTATCGGAACGAGACTCTCAACACCCTACGCAGCTAGCAAACGTGTGCTACGAAAAGATGTCACAGCTTTATAGACTGGAGACAAGACAAAGAAAGAGCCGATGCGAAAAAGTGCAATTGCACTTACAAGCTTATTCTAGCGCTCCGACGAAACGCAGCATAGACCGTAGTTTATGACAAACTATACCGTTTATTATACTGCAGATATAATCGCTTATGTCTATGAATAGAATCCGGAGAAGAGGTTCCTACGAAAAGGTTTACTAAAATATTAATAACTATAATATCTTTCGGCTTCAAGTATTTTATCAAACGTCTAGAGAGAATTCCTACGGTGCGACTTATCTACCTTTATACACTTCGCCATCGTTCCGACAGGACTCTAGGCCCTGTAAAATAGAACCAATAAGTACTAACAAGATTGCCCAGAAGATTTACTCCCCTTAGGACTGCATGGATGCCGATTCTTCTCGGGATTTCGTAAGCGTTCGAGACAATGCCGGCTTTATTTATTTACATGGCTTAATACGTGTTGGTCCTTTACATTCTCCCGCTTTCAATGGTTACCCTTTACATTCTACTCTTATCTAGAAACTACCATGTCCCCATACGTAACGTTATTAGATAGCTTTTAAAGAGTATTCGATAAGAGATTAGGTATTTAAAGGTATTATATAAAGGCTTATAAACTTAAAGTAACTAATATCGCTTTTAAATAGTAATAATATAGAGCCTAAAACTCTACTTACTCTCCCTACAAAAAACCTTAAACTACGCTTCCTATAGACAACTAAACGCAACGAGAATAAGCCTAAGAGCTAAAATAATACTATAATCTCCTAGCGCCTCGCTCGGCTCGTAGGACCTTAACTACCCTCTTTAAAAAACCTAAATAAAACTCACCAAACCCCGCCTCAAAAACGCCAGCAACCCCAGCAGTCACAGCCACAGCGTCGCCTCGCCTCGCCTCGACTCGCCTTAACGACGGCGCGCAGCACACCCACACCGCCACTTCCACCGCGCACAAGAAGCCAATCCAAGCCGCACCAGACCAAGCCAATCTATACTACCCAACACTAAACACATGTACCGTGCCGTAACGTGATGCGATGAAATATATACCGCGATAAGACAAGTCGTGGTGTATCTTATCTTATCTATCTTATTCATCTATCTAATCTCATCTCCCCCTAGCTAACGCCGACGCCGACGCCGACGCCGGCCCTCTGCCTACAGTCACGTGCATCTCGGCTCACTAGCCCCGGCCGTACTAGCCACGACCAGCCACACCAGCCACGCCAAGACGCGATCCGTTCCGTTCCATTGCGCGACGGACACCACCGCACTCGACTCCACACACACACACACACACACACACATCACGAACGGACGGACGGACAGACGCGCAGCAGCGCAAGCATCAACACAGCGCCTCAGCGTACCGTACTCTCGCTACCCTTCCTCCGCTTCGCTCCGCTCCGCTCGCTCACACTCCCCGCGCCCAACCGCCCAACGCCGTGCCGCAAGCCTCGCCCGAACTCGCCGTGCCCCGACCCTCGCTTCACTGCGTAGCCCGGTCGGCCCGAGTTGGGGCGCCCCTTGTGCCCGTTGCCGTGCTGCGTTGCCTTCGTGGGGGAGGTTTGCTGGGTCTCGCTCGCTCCTCCGAGTCAAGGCTGCTCGCTCGTTTCTTCCTTTCCGGCAAAACAAAAAGCCTGGGCGGGTGGGTTGCTTGCGCTTCGGCGTGAGGGAATCGTATCGAATCGACATCGTCGTCCTTGCTCGCGTTCTTTGGCGTTGGGCTGACGTTTGCAGGCTCCGATCTTGCGCAAGCGACCTGGAAGCTTCGAGCTTCGAGCTGAGCCATCTACCCTTCCCCGAAACGATGAGACGCGACGGAGGCGACGGGCCCGACGAGCTCGAACACGTCGTACACACTGGGTTGAAGGTTTCGGGGACACCGCTGGAGACAATGTTGACGGCGCCGGCGTTGGTAGCGTGGCAGGACGAAGCGATGGGCCAACGCCGCCATCTGGGCTGCTTAACGGTCAACGGCGTTCCGCGGCGCGTCAACTTCACGCTAGAAGTCAGATTCGACGTAGCCAAGAACTCAACCCTTCTGCTCGCCTTCCACATGCCGGTGAAATTGCGCCCATCCCGCCGCGAGTCGCCCAAGCACATGTACCTCGTCATTCCCTCGGAGCAGCTTCGCCTGTCGTGGGCCGCCACCAACAGCAGCAGCGACAGCATACACAGCGAAACGCGCCCGTGCCTCGAGCCCGACACGCCCGTCATCCACATCCGGCTCGACCTCGCACGCCCCCCCGCCGTCGCCATGCCCGCCCTCCGCCGCAAGCTGCAACGGCCCATCGTCGGCGCGCCGAGCGGGCTGCTCTCGTGCCTGCACTCGCTGACGCAGACGATGCAGCTCGACGTGTACCTCTCCGACGCCGACGACCAGCGTACGCAAGCCTGCCTCGCCGCGCTCGCCGCCCGTATGCGCCTCACGCCGCTCGCGACGCCCGCCCTCGACCTCGACGCCACGTACAGCGCGGGCGCGGGCGGGATCGATCTCTGGAATGACTACCCGTGCGAGCCGGGGATTGCGGATGCGGGCAAGGGGCCGTGGAACCCGCTCGCGCCGCCGCCGGCTTATGACGAGGTGGTTGGTGTTGGTGCTGCGGCGGCGGAGGGTGCGTGCGAGGAACCGAAGTCCAGCCCTTCGGAGAAGATTGTGGTTGGCTGGGGTGGGGCGGGAAGTAGTAGTAGTGATGAGGGGGGCAGGGCTACACGGTGCTCGGATGTTGTGAGGGGGGTGCTGCCGGCGGAGTTTGCGAGGAGGGAGGGGGAGGGAGAGGGAGATGGTCATGGTCATGGTCATGGGGTAAGAGACGCGGAAGAGGTCGCTGGTGCGGACGCTGCGGTGGAGGAGCAGCGGGACATGCAGTCGCAGTCGCAGTCGCAGCCCCCGCCCGCCCGGCCGCGGAAGCGCAAAGCCAGCGCCGCCCTGTCGGATGTTGACATTGACAACACAGAGAAGAGGGACAAATACAAGCACAAAGACAACAACAACGCAGATACAGACACCAACACAGACGCAGCCGCAGGCTTCGGCGCAAGCAATCCCTCCACCGACACCGACCGCATCGGCTACGACAAGTACACCCGCTCGGCCGCAGCATTCTTCGTAGACGCCGCGCTCGCGGCTTCGGCGACTGAGACTGATGTCGCGACGGAGGAGTCGGAGTCGCCCGTAGTCGCGCAGCCGCAGGCACATCCGCGGGCGGCGTCGGCGCCGGTGGAGCAGCAAGAGCATAAACACGAACATGACCACCGACCGCAACCCTCTCCACCCCCACTACACCCAGCCCAACCCAGCACACCCAGCACACCACAAACGCCCTACATCACCGACCTAACGCTCCTCCTCCTCCGCGCCTGGTCCCTCGACCCAGCCGCGCACCGCGACTTCCTCCTGCCCGCCCTGCTCGAGCTCGGCACGCTCGCGCGCTCCGACGACGCTGAAGCCTTTGCTGCGCTGCGGGGGGAGTGCGTGCTTAGGCTGGTTGAGCGGGGGGCTGTTGCGCGTGCGCGGGGAGGGGGTGCTGCTGGGCGGCTTGCCGACCAAGGTGGGGGTGGCGCTGCGCGCCAAGGGAAAGGGGAAGAAGGGGCAAAGGCAGAGGAAGTAGTCGAGGAGCTACGCAGCTGGTTGTGTGAGTTTGTGGGGAGGAGAGCGGATACGGTCGAGTGCGTGTTTGAGGCGCTGGTGCGGGTGTGGGGGGCGGTTGCTGCTGTTCAGGCGGAGGGGATGGGGATGGAAGAGGGGCCGAAGTGGGAGGTTGTGCGTGTGTGGAGGGCCGAGTGCTTGGCGCTGGGCATTGTTGTGGGTGGAGGGGAGAGGTGATGGTTGATAGGGAGGGGGGAGGGAGAGAGGGTAGAATAAGAGGTTTAGCGAACTCTATTCCTTCGTATTCTTTGCTGTTTTCTTTTCTTTTCATGCTCTTATTTTATTCCCTTCCGGTTCTCGTTCGTTCTTTCTCGTTCTCGATCTCGATCTCGTTCTTATTCTTTACCGGTTACTGGTTGCTGCCTGCTATTTGCGAGTGTGTAGATGGGGTTGAGTAGAGAGAGAGAGGAAGGATACTTTGTCGTTTAGTAGTTTCGGATGTGATTAGGGCGTGGCGTGATAGAAGGGTGTATGATAGGTTACTAGAGGGGTAGGTACTATACTATATAGTACGGGATTTGGGATCTTCGTTCGTATTCGCGATAGTTCTATATATAATCCTTTTACTAGACACCTATTCTTTCTTGTAAACTAAGATTTTTTTTAGACCGTATTGTCTTCTAATTACATTTATCCTCTACGTTATACTAATACTGTATGCTCCCGGCCCTACAGCTTTTAATACATAGAGGTTTTAATTTATTTACCTTCCTTATAGATGGGAAGATATACATCGTAGTAGAAATAGTAATTATATTTCGTATAACTACCTACTTAAAATATCGCGCTCCTAGAACCTTTCAATCTACTCTATCCGCCGACACCCTAAGCAGGGTAGGGACACTCCGGAAGTTTATCTCCCGGATGGTCGCAGGGCTCCGTGTTAGGTCCGTTGGTATAGCAAAGCCCTGTTATCTATTAGTTGATAGAAACAAGTTCTAGAAACTCGAGCGGCTTACCGTCGCCATCACAATAGCAGTGATTTCCAACATGCGAATGAGGAGATGCCCTGGTAAAAGGTTAGTTTCTTTTTCGATGTTTGGTGCTGATGGTCGTACTGGTTGTAGCAAGGCCCCGTGTAGGCCATGGTGGTGGCTGAAAGCGCAAGCGCTAGCAGGACTGCCGTGAAAGATCTTATGATGTTTTTTAGAGCTTGGAAGAGTTTTTAGAGTAGAAATACGACTAGAAGACGCGGGGAAGATAAGGTCTGTTGAGTACAAAGTAGATAGTTCGGTATTACACGCAGATACTGGAGAAGGTAACAAGTATTATTTATACTATAGACTAGAATCCTCGACCGAAACGCTCTTCATAATACGTAGAAGTTTTTCAAGTCTAAAAATATTAGATCCTTAGGAGCTCCCAATTAGAAACCTTCGGTAAAGTCTTACTAGGCTTACTACTGTGTGCGTTTCAGCAACAAACTAAAGGAATATTAGCTATTAGTTAAAGATAGCTCCGCTTATATCCGAACTAGTAATGCTAAGCTAGTACCGCCTATAATACCTAGGCGGCTCGTAGATACCGATTATATTAGGGCTACGCTTATACGGGGCTGGCTCTACCACTAATAGTACTTATATACGTCATAATGCATATTATAGGATTAATATTTCTAATAGAGTTTTCTAAAGATTCTCATCTAGCAATCGGGTACGTACGCTTCCACTAACGAAGCAATGTCTTAAATTATCTTAGGCTTATAACTTCTAAGAAAAGGTATATATAAATTATTCCCTAATTTTTCGTATGTTATACCAACATCGTTAGCTAGGAAACTATGAAGCTAGGCGCGAGGAATTGGACGCCGCTTGTCCCTCTAGATTACTATTACCTATGGAGGTATATATGCTGCTATCTAAAAGAACACGTTTTCTCTTTGAGACCATTGCTTCCTTGCAGTAGATAAATGAGTAGTGCAGGGGGTAAGGCTGTTGTGTAACAACTGACTCTAATGAGGCTGAAAAAAAGAGAGTTATCGGAGTGATCCTGGCTGACAGAAACTTATACTGTTAATATATATCGCACCGAATCACGGCTACGTAGCCCGAGAAGCTAGAAAACTAACGTACGAGTATTTATAGACATATGATGAAAGCTAGAAGTTATATAAGTACTACCGTTACCTAAAACAAAAGATAAAAGATTCGCTATCTGTGTTTACTTCTTAATTTTACGAAGTCCTACTCACGAAGCCCTATCTACAAAGTTACCGACAATGATGTTGTTGAATAGTGCGAGAAAGCTGGACACTGCTGTCGCATTAAATTGAGTGAAACTGTCTGCTTAAAT